ATTTTTTGAATTCCTACTTTGTCTAAAAGTATAACTAACAGTATAGTTAATCAAGTAGAGAGTCATAAGTCGAGTTCAATTAAACCCGTGTTTATAGGTGCAAAAGCTTTCTTGCATGCTACTATGAAAGAATCACCATATATTATTTATGCCACACCTATTTCTAACCGTGCAAAGACTTCACGTGGCATTCCAAGTCAATATCAAGAATTTCAAGATGTATTTGAAAAAAAGAATGTGGATACACTCCCGGAACATTGTTCCTATGATTACTCAATTGACCTTCAAGAAGGAACACAACCACCATTCGGACCAATCTACAGTTTATCACAAAATGAATTGACTAAACTCAAGGAGTATATTGAAGAAAATCTAGCCAAGAATTTCATACGCCATTCTAAATCTCCGCCAAGAGCTCCATTCTATTTGTGAAGAAAAAAGATGGATTATTGTGGATGTGTATTGATTATCAAGGACTCAATAAGATTACCATCAAGAACAGGTATCCACTACCTTTAATATCTAGACTTCTTGATCAATTGAATCAAGCTAAGATCTATACAAAAATAGATCTCCAAGGAGCATACAATCTAGTACGCATCAAAGAAAGAGATGAATGGAAGACTGCGTTGTAAACTAGATATGGATATTTTGAATATAACGTCATGCCTTTTAGACTTACAAATACACCAACAGCTTTTCAACATCTAATGAATGATGTTTTTCGAGAGTTTTTGGACGATTTTGTGGTTTGTTAACTAGACGACAACTTGATCTATTCTAAGAATCCAAAAGAATATAAACTTCATGTTCATCGTATGTTACAAAAATTAAGAGATGCAAGATTCTATGCCAAGATAGAAAAGTGTGTATTCCACACTACTCAAGTCGATTTCTTAGGTTACATCATTCCAAATGATGGACTTATGATAGATCCTAAGAAAGTTCAAACTATTATAGATTGGAAGATCCCAAAAATGGTAAGAGATGTCCAATGCTTTTTGGGATTTATCAACTACTATCGGATCTTCATCAAAGACTTCTCTTGAGTTGCAGCTCCACTTACACGTTTGACTTGTAAAGACAAACTCTAATGGAATCAAGAAGCGAAAGTTATTTTTGAATCTTTGAAGACAGCGTTTGTTTCTGCACCAATCTTGTATCATGTTGATTTTTCCAAAGTGTTCTTTATGGAAACAGATGCATCAGACTTTGCTCTAGGTATGGTTTTGACACAAATGGGAACAGATGACAAACTTCATCCAGTAGCCTTTCATTCAAGAAAATTCTCAACAACAGAAATCAATTATGAGATCCATAACAAAGAACTTCTTGTAATTGTAGATTCTTTTTAAGAATGGCATCATTATCTAGAAGGCGCTTCCAGTCCAGTCACCATATATATGGATCACAAGAACCTCGAGTATTTCATGTCAACAAATATATTAAATCATCGTCAAGCTCGTTAAAGCATGTCTTTATCAAGATTTGCATTCATCATCACTTATCGGTTAGAAAAACAACAAGGTTTATCCGATGGCTTATCTAGACGTTCTTATCTTGCACCAAAAGAAGGAGATGTAGCTTTTGAGCAACAAAGAATGGTTTTCTTGAAGCCGGAGTAATTTCATCTTCAAGCAATAAAATCAACATTGACTATTGATTTAACTTTTCTCAAGCAAGTCCAATTAAGTATGTCTTCAGACCCTCTTGTTCATGATATCAAGAATAATTCTTTTAAATCTCATGATCCCTCTAAATTAGAGTTCAAGAACAATCTACTCTATTTTGAAGGGTGCCTATATGTTCCAGAAGGAGAAGCACGTTTATATGTTGTTCAAGCTCGTCATGACTTTTCAGGAGCAGGATATTTTGAATACAATAAGACTTTGGAGCTGATATCTAAGAATATTTTGTGGCCTCAAATGTGGAAGGCACTCAAAGATTTTGTACAATCATGTGATGTTTGTTCAAGATCAAAAACTCCTTGTCATCGACCTTTAGGACTTCTTCAGCCATTACCTATTCCAGAACAACCATGGTCTTCTGTTTCTATGGATTTCATCATGGATCTTCCAATCTCAGGTTCTTATGACTCTATATTCGTGATAGTAGATCATTTTATCAAGATGGCACATTTTGTATCATGTACAAAATCTATCACAGGTGAAGAAACAACTAAGCTCTTTTTTGATAATATCTATCGCTATCATGTATTATCCAAGCATATTATATCAAATAGGAGAACTCAATTTGTATCAAGATTTTGGCGCACTCTTCTCAAGATTCTAAAAGTGGATATAAAACTATCCTTGGCATTCTATCCTAAAATTGATGGACAAAAGAAGCGTGTTAATCAAGTTTTGGAGTAATATTTAAGATGTACCATTAACTACCAACAAGATGATTGGACAACTCTTTTGCTATTGGCAGAGTTTGCTTACAATAACATGGTACATTCTTCTACAAAACAAACACCTTTCTTTGCTAATTATGGTTATCATCCAGGACTTGATACTTTTGATTTTTCAAAAGTTGATAATCTTGTTGCGAAAGATTTGGCGATTCATTTCTCGGAGCTACATGCAACAATGAAGGCGCAGTTAAAAGAAGCTCAAGAACAACAAAAGATCAATGTAGATGTCTATCGAAAGGAACAACCACCATTCCACTTGGGTGATAAGGTATGGCTACTTCGTCGCAATATCAAGACCACTCGTCCTTGTGACAAGTTGGACTATTGAAGGCTTGAACCATTTTCTATTTCTGTACAAATGAATCCAGTTGTATATCATTTATATCTATCGGAGATAATAAAAATCCATCCAGTATTCCACATGTCTCTTCTTGAACCATACAAGACAGTGGATATATCAAGAGGATGACAAGATCCACCTCCTCCTATAGAAGAGGACAATAATGAAGAGTTTGAAGTAGAAGAAGTCTTAGATTCAAGGCGGCGCCAAAATAAATTAGAATATATTGTCTATTGACATGGATATGATATTAGTGAATACACATGGGAGCCAGTAAAGAATCTTGCAAATGTAGCAAAGGCGGTGGAGGCTTTTCATCGACAATATCTATAAAAATCAAGATAAAAACCTTCTTTATAAAAAAAAACAACATCTAAGCAAGATAACATTCTATTTTCAATCCTTGTTTGTAGCTTCTTTGTAGTTGTGACACTCAGGAGATGGAGAACCAACAACTAGCAGATTTGACTCAAGAGCCTTCATTTGCTGACCTACCGGATAAGACATTACGATTGTTACAACCTTCAAGATGATGCAATCGAGATGAAGATATTCAAGAACGACATATTTTTTTTTTAATAGATGGCGAGATACAATGCGTTTGGTATCAAGACTTGGGAAGGGACTCCCGATATTTGGTGATTTTACTAGAGGTAGGAACAACTGCTAATGGTGTTCAAAAAGTTTTATTTCTTAGGAAGTTATAAAGGCTTCAATAATGATCAAATAATTGATTGGTCTATCTACCATGGTATGCGACACTACCGATGGTTGAGAGGCCCTATCAATCATCTTCGAAGAGAACAAAGATCAGAGTATGTGGCGAATATAATTTGTCGCATCATAGATTTTCTCAACATATGATGACCGCTCTTTGTGGAACTCCTCCCTAGAAAGAGGGTAATGTCATGGATATACTCATGTAAGCTAGTAATTATATATATAAATAGGTAGAAGTAAGTAAAAGTAGATAAAAGTAAGTTAATTCTATAGTATTTGGTATAAAAGCTTCCTAGAAGCTTCATAGACACTGCTTTGACTTTATAGGTGTCTTTAATTGAATTTTTGGATTAGAAACGTGGTCAACAAGTTGGCCATGTGCCACACATGTTGTTAGCTTGAAGACGAAGCTAATAATGTGGCCCACACGTAGAAAAACTTGCCTTATAAGTCAATGCATGTGTCCTACAAAGTCAACACATATTGAAGGTCCTATAGAATGTCGCCATGTAGCCCCTAATTAGATAGTATATATAGAGACAAGAGTGAAGCCTTCTTCACTCTTGTCAATTCTTTTCTTGTTTCTAGTCTAGTTTCAAGAGTCTTTATGTTTTCTAGTCTTTAGCAATAGCTATTCCAATTTCTCTTTCAATATACATACTTGTTTATTTATATTTTGTTACCTTTCTTTGAGTGAAGGCTCACTTGATTGAATTACTTTTTCATCGAGTTCTTGTCCTTGACAATCTTGCATGCAAATAATAGTACTTGTATTGTACAAATGCAAGTTGGTTTCATTAAAGTCGAGAGGGCAAAGCATATTGATCCAAAGTATTTTAGTTATACCTTTGACTTGATTACTAATCAAACACTTATAATTAAGAAAATTGAATCTACAAATAACCTTGCTGATCTCTTTATCAAAGATCTCTCATTGTGCAATCATTGTTGACTTACTTATGGCATTGGTATGCAGCAACTTACTTTTTTTGAATAAGAAAGTTAATGAGTTCTTTAAATAATTAAGGAAAATGATGTTGTACTCTTTTTCCTTCATCTATGGTTTTGTCCCTAAATACAATAAGGTTTTCCTAGATAAGGTTTTAATGAGGCAACAATTGTTGATCTTGGAAGATCATAGAGAAGTATAAATCATAATTCTATATAAATTTTATATTATGTAAATATTATGATGAGCGATGAGGAGTGTTGCGAGTATTAAATGTAGTCAGTGCTCTCCATAATATTTACTGTAGACTATAGTAAATATTGTAACTACAATATTTAGAGTCTAGTGGAGAAGAATTGTTTATCCACTCTCCTTTCTCTTCTTGTATACTAGACACAACTAGATCAATAGATTTTTATGTGTGAAGCTCTCCCTCTTATGTGTATGACTTACTACTACTCTTGTGTCTTTCTAATCATTCTCAACAGAACTCAAGTTGTGTCAAAACTGTTAATCACAATTTTCCAAGATGGAACAGTGAAAACATCATGAAAAGAGTAGTATCCAACCAATCCCCAAATATGCTATAGAATGGGAAGTTTTCTTGTTATCAATGATCGTAAACAAATATATCTGGTTTTTTCTGTACACCCAGACAAGATGTGCAGGGAGATGACTTAACTCCCACCGCAACTCTATGTGAAGCGTATTTGTCACAAATTTTAAGAAGGTTACATCTAGACAAAAGACGTCACCCAAAGGTGATAAGGCAAACAACAGAGTTTGCCACCCAGTGCTGCTAAACCTATCAAATTCTCCTTGCACAACCATGACCGACTGCATATGTGCAATTCAATAAATGTTAAAATCGAGTGGAATCAACTGTAAACTACGAGGAATTATCAGCTTCAGAGCTGTGCTCTAGATGTAGTCCCCTGATCACAAAATTATCTTCATTCGAGAGAGGGATGAAGACATTTTTTCATTCCTAGAATTCTTCATCCCAACTTTATGTGAAGATAAAGACCTAGGACCCTGACAGAAGCTTGAAAAAAGATCTCGGAATGTACAAGTAAAACCTCACATAGGGTTGAACCCAAGAATGCACTATGCTACAGAATTTGATGGTAACGCAAACTGATGAAACCTAGTAGGCTTTACGCATTAATTGAGAATTACGTAGTATGTATGAGTCGTAGTCGAAAGCTGCAGTCATCCAAAGTCGTCGGATCTGCAAATAAATGAAAAAATCACCTCAGAATGGTTGATTCATTTTTTTCTTAAGGATAAAATGTCTTTCATTAAAACCCGAGTAAATCTTGTCGGAATAATTTGATGATACTATATAATAACCATTTTGTACTTACTCGGTGCCGAAGCGTTTAAAGTCTACGAACTTTATAGAAAATTTCTGATACGATTTACTAATAGCACTCCTTTACAAGTACACAATACGTACAATTCTTGATCTAAGGCAGTTACCTCGTTCAATCGAAGATCACTTAAATACATTTTCTGATTTCGCCTCATATATAGGTCTTCCTGCGCGTGTTTTTAAACCAACACCAACATCAGCACGCATCAATGTGACCGATTCTTATATGGATCAAAAATAACAAACTGGATATCTCAGTTGACGTCAATGATGTACTGAAGGGGCGGAAAGGTTCTAACATCGCCATGGATGTCCAGGTATAAGGAAAGTCCCATGCAAGTCCGATTGTTCCGGAGGAGCAAGAGTTGAGTAGAACGCAGCAACAAGAATATTCCCACACCAGCCGATTCTGTTACATGAACTTGCAACATTAGATTGTCGTCCAAGTGATTTGTAATAACTGGACAGTGGAGTACACTAGTTTAATAAACTCCTGGTATGAAACTTGTCAATGAATATCCATTAAGATCCCGTTCTTTAATGCAAAATCATACCAGTTGCTGCATGCTGAGAACATTCTCCAATCCCGTTTCCACGGCGATCAGCTCCACAGCACAGCAGCATTCCACAAACGAGGCAGATCGCGGGATCACTGCAGAAACACCAGTAATTTTGAGATAGGGTATACACGTTGATTCGTAGGCCATAAGAGAAATAGGTGTATTGGATCTAGAACCTACGACATATTGCAATGAACTGAGGGGACAAACAAAAGGCTGGAATCCATCATGACGAAAAATAAATGCGAAGTTGTCCTAAAAGAACAGAAACCACAAAAGGAAACTCACAGAGGTGTTTCTCCACAAGCGGCACATTTCTTCCCGTAAAATCCCTCCATTAATAGTTTCTGAAAACATCCCAGATTTCACTAACATAATCAGAATTAATGTAACGACAGCATGAACATTACACAAAGACATGCAACAACTATCATTGAATATGTTATAACATGCTTCATATATTCAGAGATCTTAAAACAAATCACATGGCCCATAGAAAGAGACATAGAAAATTCATCGAAACATGAAAGTTATGTCGCTACAAATGCGCCGATTCAAAGCATGCTCAGAAGTTCTTGTCACTGTGGATGTCCGTAACGAACCTGGTATACACGAGGCAGTTTGTGAAGCAGAGCCTTGCGAGGAACTTTATGCATCTCAAAATTGAACGATTTTGGACGATAGAGGTGCAGCAGTTGAGTTACCATGGCCGCAGTTGCTCCTGAAGTTTTCCACAGTGCAGATATGAAGAGAATTGTAAAATTAAAAATTAGAAAAATCATACAACTTTCTTTAATGTCAACGAACAGGGGAAGTAACCATGAACCATGCATGAACTGACTAAGAGTAAACCTCAAAATGGAAATAAAAATTTCTGATCATGAGGAATCTAAATAAAAAAGAGTATAATACTCTTAGTTGATAATTCTGCTTAATGAATTGAAGTACTGTGCTACTGAAAACTTCAGTATTATTGCTATTCACCTTGAGGTTGCAGAATTAGTGAGCAATCTGGAAGTTGCAATATCAACTGCAAACTGTGAAAATCCATCACTTTCATCCCTGAAAGATATGACAACCGCTACAATTAGGATCTTACGTTGTAATCAAGTCATAAATTAAAATTGTGCAATGCGCTTTGAAATCTACAACTTGTATATGAAACTGCGGAAGTCCACTACATTTTATACCTGTTAATCCATGTTCTCTTAAATCCTCTCGAGTAACTATCTGCACCTGTTAATCAAAATAACATGAAAACAGAATTCTCAAAAGATCAATGAAGCGCTCCATCGTGAACTGTTTTCATAATGAAGAATTCCGACATATGAGAGAAAATCAAATTAATTGAATGAAGAAACAGTATCTTCTAAATAAAAGAACACAATCATAATCTTATCACCCGCTCAACACAACCAAAACCGGTATCCGCGACCCTTCACTAAACGAAAACACCACACTAGTAAACAGAAGGAACAGATTACCAGCATGGCAGCTCTACGCAGGAATGGGAGACAAGCCCTTCGAACAAGGGTCTCCACATCAGAATCTTCAACATCCAGCCTAGACACTGCGATTTGTGTCTGCAAAACGGCTATTGTATATGCAAACTTCACCATGGAGAGCAAAACGTGCCTATCAGGTTGTTTGCTAAGAATCTGAATGCAAAAGCATTGAAAATGGGTTAGCCACTAAAAAATTAATTATTTGATGCAGATTGAAAACTTAACTTGCCATTAAAATCTACCTAAAATGTCAAAAATGAATCACAGTACACAACAGTGTAGTAGTCATGAGGTGCTCACAATTAACAACATGGCCAAGACCCAAAACGGATCAGCTGTTAAGATGCCATTTCTCAAGATATCTTCCATCCAGGTAGACAAAGAATCCGACGATGTATTCCGCTGCTGCTCTATAGGAAATGGCTGACTCAAACAACCGTCAATCATCATTTCTTCTCTGATCTTATTCTCAATTTTAGCATCTTCAAATGAAATCTCGTGCCTTTGTTGAGGATCGTGTTCAATAGGATCTGGAGCAGCTAGCTTACTAGGATACGTTTCACCAAGTTTAAATTCAACAAATTGACTGTTTTTGTTCTCCTCGAGGTGGACACTTTGATTTAAAGTCGTCTGTGTACGAGCTAATTCTTCTTCCCCCATGTCCACGTTGCATGATACAGGAACAAATTGTGAATTCTCCTGTTTTTGTGCACTCCCATCCTGACAATGAAAGTAAAGGGAAGACACTTGTGCAAATTCTGGATCCTCACAAGGTTCCGCAAGATCAATTGGGTTCTGAGGAAACATCTCTCGAACAGTCCTCTCTAGCTCACTCATCCCAGCCAGAATAGGTGAGGACTCTGTGTCCATACTTTCCGCGTCCAGATTTTCTCTCCTGTCAAGCAATCGAAGGCATTCCCATAACGCCCGCAACCTTTGACTCTTGTCCTGCACTGTAGAAGCAAATCATGGTCAATGACGCATATGTACATGGTCGAACATAAATGATGAGGGATAAGCACTAGAATGAGTTATCGAGCGTGCAGAATTCGGCCTAAGATATTAACAAGCAATAGGATATTCTATGCCTATAATCTAAGCAGCTCAGCGAGTTTCTACCAAGAGATTATAAAATTTCAAAATGAAAAGATATGTTCTTGTTACACAAGTAGTTGACACGGTACCAAGTTTCAGGAAAGGTCAAGAACCACACAAGAGTCTGAGGTTAAAATGTGACCAATTGATCAGCTACACCTCATGCTCCATCCACTTTGATATAGGTAAAGTAGAAGCAAGACCCACAAAGAAATACAAAGTAAGCACTACGTGTATGTTACATTTGTTCCGAAAGGTTAAACGGGAACCATTTCAGTAAGCGTTTGTGAGGTTCTCACCTGCACCAGGAAACGTGTTGGAAAGCATGGCTAGCCTTCCTAATTCTCGCATAGCTGTCCAATGAGCAGAATCTCCACCCCAAGTACATTCATCGGAGAACTTCATTGTGGGGGATGAAGAAGAAGCGGTTCCCACCTGTACATACCCTTCTCTTGTTTCCACCTCGCAATGAACAATATTCAAAACGAGTTCCTCCCAAAGAACCTTCACGCAATATAGCAACATCAGATTTTAACATCGACTGCAGTCGAATACATCTGACAAATCTAAATGTGTTTAGGTTATTACTGAAACTAGTCAAAATCTATGTAACAATCACTGATGGAATTCCAAACTCTAGCTCTAAGTATTGGATTGGAAAGGTATTATGATGCAGTCAAATTTAATGATAGTATCAGCATTATAACAAGGCAGTGCTCTTTGATACCCGTGATCTTGCGCAACTGCTTGGCGTATTAAAGTACGAGTGTGGATACTGCTTGCGAACTCTCAACGTCTGAGTTCCACAACCAACAACACCACATTAGAACGACCGTCAAGCATTAAAATGATGACCCAGAACTTATCGTATTTAAAAGCTGACTGAAAAATACACCTTCTGCAAATCTGCTTGCCTTTCTGAGCTTTAGGATTGGGTAAGAACTGCAAGTGTTTATGTCAAAAACACTTTACTAATAAGTTTTTCTGATGCAACCGAAGCCAAGGTTGTACCTGAACACAAAAAGAATCCATAGAGTTTTCTAGATTCTTATTTGATTGCCAAAAACTACTCCAATCACTCCCTATTTCATCCGCCCCTTTTACGTCTTCGTGCAGGTCCATCTTTCTAGACGATATAGATGCATCCACATCTGGCAGAAGGACATTTGCTAATCGCCGGCAGATTGGGCACGAGAATTCCCCATTCAAGGGGTTCACGACATCGTTCCCTGAGAATATGAGTCAACAGATTGGTTAGCACATCTCTCATCCAGCTTAAAGGTAATAAAAGCATCTTTAGTTTACAAAGGAACATCCATTCAGGAGAGTATAATGGCCATTCAAGAAAAGTTTACAGCAAACACTGGCGAGAGATGCGGATAATGAGAACATTAAGTATATATTTGAAGGTCTCCCCATTACGTTTGAAGCTCAACACATTAGTGAACAAGAACAGACAAAAAGTAAAAAAAAAAATCCAGGAAATCCTAAAACTGGTTATGGAGCTATCATGAATGCACGATATACAAGTTAAAAGATAGTGATGATAATAGAAAGAATCCAACAACTCACCAGCATTACAACTCAATTGAAGATTCTTCATGTGATCTTGGAAGCAATCATAATGCATCTGAGTCGGAAAAGACAGTATTAATTTTCGATACCTTTGCAATCAAATATGCTGATTCTTTGAGTTGAAAATTGACGCTGAATTTCTCTTGAGAAACCGAGCTATCTTAAGAGCGCAAAACCCCGACAAGACCTGCACACCATGCGTACCTGATGACCACAGCATTGAACATGCTCAAGGGTAGATAAATCGATTGTAGTAGCATTTCCCGATTCAGCGAAGTACCCCACAGTAACCAGCTGATCGAGGTCATCATTCAAGTTCAATCCTTGAAACTGGCCAACATGAGAAATATCCGTTTCCCCTGTATTCCTCATTTGTTCCCCTCTGCTCAGGACTTGATTCGGAAAATTATACCGCTGCACTAAAGCAATCCAGCATAGTGAAGAGTTCTTATCATCCTTCTGCAATATCATAAAACGCTTCTGTTAAAACGGTGCAGGCGGATGTTACTCATATAGTGGACACAGAACAACAGAGTCGAAGAAGGCCTGATGGCCTTTGGCTTGTGCGGTAAAAGTAAATCTACTCAAGTGATTTAAATACAAGCCCAAGGAAACGCTTAGCCTTTAAAAATCATAAGCCTAAAAGAACAGAACAAAACTTTCGTACTTTTGTTTTGCAAAGAGCGCACTCCTTGGCCTTAGATGAAGCTTCCATGGCCACGTGATCAGCATCTGTCACAGGGGTGGTGGCTTTTCGAAGTGTTTCAGAAATAGGAACAGACCCACTTTTACAAGCGCGGCTTTCGTTAACAATACTGCAGGCTTCCATCTCGGAACCATCTTCAGAGTTTTCGTCATCATCACAGTCGCTCTGTAGTTCCATGAAAGCCTTTCGCCTACATACAAGACATCCTTCTATCAGCCACACAAATGTAAATAGATACTATTGCCAGGGTTTAAAGAAATTCTAAATAAAACTGATGTATTGGTCAAAATGCAACAAATTGTATGTTCGTGATTGAAACCAGAGTACCTAAAAGATAGCCACTTTGAACATGCACAGCAATACCAAACAATATTTGTTACTATAGTTCTATTAGTACTTTCATCTGTGTCTGTATGACTCAATTTCTTCATTTGAAATGCATGCTAAATGGCATAAACCTCAAAAAAATTAATTTAACATTATTAGAAGCTGTCATGAAAGACTAAAAACTCACTTGGCAGAAAACTCTTCAAGGATAGCTTTTTGGCGCAGTTCTTTACGCAGTCTGCGCTGAATGTCTTCAGCACTAAGAGTGTCAACCTGAAAGAGGAAAAACTAACCATAAAACTCAAATAACAAGTGTTCGATTATTTTGCAGCCCGAAACAGATACATATACACTTGTATAGTTGGAATAGTTTACAATGTATACAGTTATATTGCGAACTGACTCATCTGCAGAAATAGTGAACAGAAATACACAAATTATAAAACATTAAGCGAAGTTATCACCTCAGCAGCACGAGACTTTTCATGAGTCGAAACATGCAGGAACTCAAAGACATGATTAATCGAATCCACCAAACCTGTCAAATGCCAGTAAAGAGTAGGACAGAACAGTAAGAGAGAATTCCAAGAGAAGGCAACTGCAAATTCACCTAGAAAGAGGGAAGACGATCTCAAATAACAACATTACAAGTCAGAAGATATCATGCTTTCCAGATATCATTGTGAATCGTTCAAACCAGTAAATGTTTAATTTTTCTGCCTAAAAGGTACTTACGAGTGCACTGATTAGCACGAACTAGCTCCTGTAGCATCTGAAAGATGCTCAGATGTGGCCCATACTCTGTTCGAACCTGCACGTAGATGTTGACAGTGATGTCCTCGGTAGGATACTCATCCACTGAATCCGGAAACTGGGCCTTCAAATCAGCATCCCTGCAAATATAATTAAACCATCGTCAGATTCAAATAATCTTCGAGTTGTCACATCTAATTCATGGCTAGAAGCAAGATCTTGGCATAATTTTCTGTTTTTATATCAAGCACTAAATGTTTTCATACATATCCAAGATGGCATGCATGCTATGCACCATAAATGTCTTCATAAGTTGACGAGCACACAGCATGCTGGCTTTCATTGTGGAGACCAAATAAAAACCCATGGACCATATCCATAACATTACGATGGCCATCCAAGATCCAAGTTTCCAGCCGATAATTATCGGAAAATCCGGGAGATCTAGCCAAAAGAGAATCGTAAATGAAACATGTCACCAATCATGGTACCCAACACTAAATGAGATAAAATGCACGGAACTAACCATAAATTGTTGCGGGAATCTGATACTAGAACAGCCATCATTTGCAGAGCAGTAACACCGAGAGCTTCACCAGATGTTACTGTTGTATCCCTTTCGACAAGAAATCTCACCTCATCCAGTACGTTTAGCAGAAACAGATGGCATGCCTGACTTGTGCGCATCACACAAGGAATAAGTAACAATGCAATTAATTGAGCACACGAAGAGTGCTGCCTGAAATACCAAAACCTCAAGATCTAAAATAATCCTACACCAATGAGGCAACTGTAGAGTAAAAATGACTTTAACTGTCACATTCAAATAATAATTTCTAGACACCTCTGAAACTGCAGTTTGACGGTCATCTCTGCCAAATTAACACACCTTTGTGTGAAGAAGACCAGAAAGCCGGTCGTAGGGTGCACCAGCAGGTGATGGTGCTGAAATCCGCCAATAATGATCTGATTTCCCAACTTTAACAGCTCTATCCTGCAACATACCAGAACTCGTTACATGTTAGTTATCTCGTTCACAATTGCAGCACAAACACTGAAATAAACCTCACATGTGGCATGCAGAAACCCATCGTACTGAAGTCCTGCTCCAGCAAGAAGTTTCTAAATGAGAACCTGTCATCCACAGCTCTGAGGTGCGCATATACCATTGCAGTCCCACAATCCACGACTAGAGTAAACGACCTGTGGTCTTGAAATAGGTCATGTACCCATATGGCCTCTTAGAGCCAATACACGTATAGTACAATTCTTTCATGCTTAATAGTCTGTACTATCAACATGCGATAGATGGACCCCAAATAAATCATCGCCTACCTCAGCCTCCTCCAACTCGTTGAGATAGTAATGAGGGAACAAAGGATCGAACTCTTTCCAGTACTCTGATTTTAGTTGATAGTACCCTTGATGAGCAACCTGCTATACCAACGCCGTTGTGAGCTAGAATTAGCATACGCTTCTGTGAAACATTCATGTGTAATTTCCTACATACTCAGTTGAACAATCGAGTCAAAATGTTGGGTGTCTGTACCACAATATCTATGCAATGTCCGCAAATGATTACATAGACATATAACATTCCAATCACGTTGAATATTAAAAACAAAACCACCACTATTCATGCTTCATCGTTTAATAATTATGCGCATTCAAAAGTAAAACAAAATAATATCAGTAACATCGTGCTTTGACACACAGACCTTAGGCTCGTGGTAGACAGCTACTCTATCCAACACAACATTCAATTTCTGATGCTCTATGGAGGTCGAGCCCAATGCCCGACAAAGCTGTAATCAAATCATTGAACATCAGCTGTTATTGGCAAGAACACGAACCAAAAGAAATATATCTTAAATGAAATAAACTACAGGAGTGGAAGTTCATTCAAATGTGGCATAATGAATGTCAGAAAATCAAGTCTAAAAATATTGTCGTAAGGTCGTGTAAGACCCACCTGAGAGTAAGTCTGATCACGAACACACAACCATTGTATGACATCGTACTGCAGACATTTACCTTGTGCTTCGTCTTCTTCTGTCCTTCCCAAATTGCGGCGTTCACGCACAACCTACAAATCCAGACAACGTCTATAAGCATGTCTTAACACCTCCCAGAAGAAATGTAACTAAGCGAGTGCTCGGAACAGCACAAACATCCAAAAACAACTCGATAATGCCAAGTAGAACCGTCTCAGAGTAAAGAATCAAATTCAAAGCAATACTGCTTGGATATGGAAATCACATTGAAAATACAAGCGCAGAAGAGCTTACCAGCAAAATCAATCGCATGAATGATTGCAAAAGCATAATCTCTGCCTGTCGGCAATTTCGCTGTCCAGGAATCGTGCGAGTTGTTGCCATACTTTTGAACTGTTCACCAAGTCCAACAGACCATAAGTAGCAACACAATGTATCACACATACTTTGTCTGTATAACTACTACACTAGCAACTTCATCACAAGTAGCCGCAGAATAGCTTCATCAAAAGAATTGTACATCATACAGATGGTAACGCAGACTGTAATACACCCATTTTTATTAAAAAGCTTCGTATTCTTCCATTTATAATCAGACTAGGATAGGCATTCTTAAGAGTACATTGAATAGCTCCGCTATCTTTACAAAGATTTTGCCTTGCAAATCTTCACAAGCAACAGAGCAAAATTGTAGTAGTAATATATCCATGTCCATTGACCTGTAAAACATAATGATTGCTTGAATTAGACAATGAAATCGAAATTGCAATTGGAATACTTAGCTCTTGCTACTAATCACTATTATACATGCAAAGATCAGAGAAGTCTCAAAACAATAGATCAGAAGATACACTTCTGTAATCAACCCATTCAAATCTATCAAATTTTTTCAAAAGCTCTTATCGGATTCCGTAGTACAAAGTTAACTCAATGAGCTTATCATAAGAGTCCACCATGAGATAATCATAAGAGAGTACATTTAAAGTTGCAATGTATCCCTTCCCATACAATATAGTATTCTGAGACTTGCTCTCCATTATCAGATATGGCTCCATGAAGGAACCTAAGGTGTTGCTTCTCATGAAAAACACCAAAAAAATCACAGTTGAGAATAGTTCGCTTACTGATCATGCCAGAAACTTCCTCTGTAAATAAGCTCTAGACGGCTAAAATGTTCCAATGTTGACCACATTTGAGCGCGAATCTTCAACAAATATGGAAATTGCCACACGGATTATAAGTCAGGTAGAATAGAAATGCAAGATTAAGTGCTATACTAAATCATCTAAGTGCAACAATCGACGAACTTTCACAGCTGAACAATTATATGAACTACATATCAACAGTAAGACACAATGAGGTCATCTAACCTGTGCCATCCAGACCAATATGCGAAGAGGATGATCCATGAGAGCCAGCACCTGTAACATATCCAGTGAAAAAGAAAGATATTGACATCAACGTTCACAACGACACTGCGATAACAAATTAAGGGAATGGCCCAGCAGAGCCGAAATCTTAAAATTACATAAATATCCCCTATACTTCCTGGTAAAACGTAGATCAACAGCCAGGGATTTGTGATAAAACAAAAGACATCTCCCATTGAGTTAAGGTGATTAAGGTGTAGATAAGCTGCATACGGAAACACGTCAAAAATACATAGATTATTGTTAATGGTAGCACAAAAAGAACCCAGGCAAATTGATGCAACAGTGGAGTGGTACCTCATCTTCGGTAAAATTGAAAACACCCTCCTCTTTCAGAGCAGTTAGGAAGCCCCTCTCGTAATTCCCCCAAGATATGAGCACAAGCTTTTGTAGGATTGCACTTAATGCCCTGTGCAGCGGTATATGTAGCGAAACTGTGCTATCACTGTATTTGTCTTGATCAGATATGCGCTTAACCTGCAGGAATCTTTCACAGTTCCTTTTATTTCTAGATCCAAAAGAAGTGAATTGTCAAGCCATATCCTGGTGTAACGACAGCAGTCATCACAACGCAAGGATGTATCAAGTCCTAATCTATATTGTCATAGAAATAACAATGAAATGAAACTGAGTACAGGGATTGCGAAAACTAATTTTTACATTTGGCAAGCAACCATTCCAGGGATGGACTTACCTGCTCTAAGTACTGCTTTAGGACCTTGAATGTGTAAGTAGCTGCAGTGACAAGAGTTTTTTTCCTGCCTAGGGGATCTTGAAAGCAGCGTGAGATCAGCTGAAAAATTATTGCCATACTGTTCATCTGCGTAGCGCCAAAGCAAAACGTGAATGAAGAAGCAGGTGATAAAGCAACAATATCGATGCATCACTAAGCAGAAACCGAAAAATACAATAAACACTCCAGTTGCATCCTACTAGTTTGTGATATCTGACGTCTACTCTTCCAACAACAGATTCTGAGGACTAGGGAAAATATTAGAATTAATGGCCTCCATCAGACAGACAGAAAAAAGAAAAAAAACTTGAACACCAAGCAAATGTAGTTGAAAAATTGTCCATGATCTGTAACTGCCGCTGCTAGCTATGAAGCTTCCAAGAAGGCGGTTCGACACAGTAGCAAACATACTAATTACAGCAACCTGCCCTTCATTGAAATATGCGTCATAAACTGAATCACAAAGATAAACTTATACACAAAAAGGTAGGACACAACGATATTATAAATAATGCTGACCTCAAGTTGGATCGCAAGTGTCCACGTCTTCTCAAATACATGGCCGTCTCCCCCACGAGTATAAGCATTCATCCACTGAATAAACATGACAGTCAATGCACCAAAGTAAGCAATTATCCACAATTCCACAACACAATCGAATAAATATCTACATGCAAATTGAACATAATTTGATTTAGAGAGAAATCATCAAGGTTCCACATCAATTTCTCGTCATTAAAAAAGCATGACCTCAAATCTCAAGGTTCAAACTTATTCGTCAACATTAAAGAGCACCCTGCTCCTTATTCTGAACGAAATATGAGCGCAATATGAGTCTAAATAAAAATAAAGAAGAGTGCTTGAACTCTAAGTAATACCAAACTACTATCAATTGACGAAATGGAAGACAGAAAGACAATACTCCTTCAACATGTTAAAAATTGAAAAATTCAGTAATCAGAAATCTACAGCATCTCTCACATTCAATTCTTTTCCTTAAAGAACCTGCAATTTAACGAGCACATCGAGAATATGTGGAAAAAGTTGAGGCTGCTTCGAAAGCATATGAATCGCAATATTCCTATGTGAGACGACTAGTCGCAAATCACTTTGAGGCCGAAGGTAAACCTGATCATGTCCTCACCATGACGAGATATTTCAGTACAAAAGCACACATGATTCCCGAACGTTGCATCCAAATGATCGGTTTTATAGTCTCTTATTCATTTCACACTGAAAGTTCATTCTTACAACATGAACTACTGCATACTAGCAAAAGCCCAAGTCTTTTAAACAAGCAATTACTAACTCATTCCGCAATTAAAACGTCAATAAGATATCAAGAATATTGTCCTATGATGTTCTAAGAAAGGACTTGCAGCAATCAAACAATTATAAGCTACATTATTGAGTCGGCAGGAGTGCGCACCTTACACTTGATTGCGTCACCGTCAAAACTGACAACTGCTAGCTCACTGACAAATTTGCAAACCATCAAATCAACAGTTACGTTAGATTTGTTCGAAGATTTATCTAGACAAGAGAGAAAAATTACCCAGCAGTTTTAGTTTGCTAAAAATAATAGAGGTTTGGGGGATAGATTAAGAAAGCAACTAAAAGAATACTAGTACCTCTGACCAGAAATAGAAACCACAAATACTACATTCCTCTCAAGTTCCTGTCCGTGTCTGTTAAGTTCGCCGTATAAAGAGCGAACTCAGCAATAATTTAAAGTTCGATTAGAATGAGTCCTGCTCTGTAAAAGTTTAATTACTAACACTTGTTATAAATCCTTTCTAGGCAACTACTAGTTCCCTCAACCAGTTTAGTGAAATTTGAAACAACAACTAGAAAGAAGTAGTGGACAAAGAAATTACTTATTTTCGGCAGAACAAGCGATAACTTTAGAGAAAACTCCAATAAATAACTCAAGCAAGTTATGTTTATGAATGAGGCGAGTTGTCATGTCTGGATCATTAAATAACTGCACCATTACTGAAAAAACACGCAGATTGTTTGAGCCAGAGATTACCCAAGGTTAACATCAGAATTAAGTGCACCAACAAAACATCTGAACAATATCAACTCGTTACATAAATTTAGTTGATATCAAAAAATCAGCAGCTTTGAGGGCCAAATTGACAAAAATGTCAGTACGGTCCAAAAGCTATTCTTGACTACAATTCCACGAATGAACTAATCAATTCAAATAAAATCTTAAAAATCATGCAGCAAAAGAAGGTGAATCAATTAAAATATGCATTGGAAGTCAGGGAAAACCTTTCCATGGCCAAACTAACCGGAAACTTATTAACATGGCAGAACAGAGAAAATATGCATACCTCTATCTAAGTTTGTATCAAGGTGTGTGTAATTCTTCATATATTCTTTATTACGGATGGCAAGGAAAATCATCTTCTCGTACTTTTCCCTTAGAAGATTTAGAAACTTATCCTTAAAATCATTTTTATACAATAATTGTAAGAACAAAGTTGTCTCCTGCATTAAAGAGCGCAAGCGATCAAATTAGTCAAACAGCGAAAGCATCCTTCTTTCAACCAGCTTTTTAAAGCAGATACAGTTGTTGCATGCACAAAGAGACATTTCCCCCAGCCCCACCCTGCAGTGTGATCTCATGGTCATTTCGTTCTGAATGCACTGCTACGTATAGATGTGATTGATATAATACCGCTTCAATAAGTTTGTCCGGCATCCAACCTAAGCAGTCCAACAAGATCTCCAATGCCGACGTCGGAGCGTCAGTCTGCACATGAAAAGAATATGCACAATTGTTCAGATGAAAGCCCGTGACAATATTGTCAAACATATCAAGATTCGTCAAGATGATTCTGCAATCTCAATGAACTAACGATGTCCAGATCCTCCCTTGATTTTCAATGAGCTAACCAATATAATTACATATAAGTAAGATCTGAAGACCCATTCACACTCAGAGAACTAAGGAGTAAATCCAGTCCAAATGTATATCCATGGTTATTGTGAGCAACCATGCAGGTACCGCTATTAATAGCAGGAAAACATAAGTCTTAGGATGATTAAACAATGACCTTTCCCGGTAAGAGTGAAAACCATTTAACCGGAATTACAGTCCTTTGAAAAGGTCCAATGACATTGAATAAGATTTGTGTCGCTAGTAAGCGGAAAATACACACATCCTTACCATGAAGCTTTCACCCAGGAATAGTAGTGTAGTGTGAGCATAATGTTTGAAATACGTACCTGGCATGGGATTCCATAATCAATTATTTCATTACAAACAATGCTGCGCAACGCGTCTACAGCACAAACCTGTCGTGCGAACAAAACGCATTATTATGAAACAAAAAATAAATAAAAATTAAAGGAAAAGCCACATTAAGAAAAAGATATTATTTGAAAATTTTGCAATCATTTGTAGCAGCGAATTGAAGTCGAAGTAAACTATTGCGTCAACACAGACCATTATAGGAACAACGTACCATCCTCTTAGAAATAAGAAACTCTCATCTTGATAAGATGGATAGAAAGAGAAAGAAAGAAAGAACGACAGATAGATAGATAGATAGATAGATAGATAGATAGAGTTATCCATAACTTCACTAGAAAGTCAAGCAGTAACTCAAACAAACAATCGTTATAAAAGAAATCAGTGCACTAGAAAACGCTAAGCCGCTAACAGGTTTTATTCTTAAAAAACTAATCATGTGGGTGCAACATAAAAGAGAACGAAAGAAAGAAAGATGGGCTCACCTTCTGTGACCAATCCAAATATATCATGGCCATTGCGACTTCCAAGTCAGTGTTCTGATCGAAAAGTTTTCGCTGATAACTCAGCTTAACTTTAAGTTTCTTAACCCAAACTAGTAGTTCCCGGAGCACATATTGCACTGCAAAAACAGCATCAATAAGACAATTCTTGGCATGAAGTCAAAAAAACAAATGGGTTTCTCCGAATCTACACCGGACTTAAAACTCGACCCCTGTTGCAAGCCTTTTAATTCAACATCATCTATCATGAGCACCAAATAATCCAAACCAGCCGCACAACATATGATATGCCAGGACACAATCATTTTGAAACTTATGCTGTACACAATTCGTGTAATCAAATAATCAATTGCATGAAATTTAACATGTAAACCCATATACTCACCGACAACATGAGTCGGCTCCAAAAGTTCATCCTTTAATTTTGGTTCTTGCACATGCAGACGTTGATGGGCAGCACAGGCCCTACAAAAAACAGGTAATCAACGAAAATGAACTGCAAGATAACAAGGTAACAACGCCTAGAACTTCAGGTTGTTCCAAATTTTGACACATCACTACAAATTGTAGGAGAGTAGAAAGAGGCGTTACTCCAGTTAGAGTGGTTTGCCAAGCAACACCATACTTGAAACATATGAAGCACAGCGAAATCAAAAAACGAAAGGAATTAGTGACGGCAAGTTAACAACAATGACGAAACAGGGCCACTAAGTCAAGTGCTCATCTACAGGCTATCTTTGTTACATCCACCATGTAAAGTGTGCTTGTTTTTCAACATAAAATTCAAATTATGGTAATGTTGATAAGCAATGTGGTACGCACTATGCAAGAAAACCAGTGTGCTAAAAGAACTATCACTGCATTTCTTAATGGTTAAAAAAACCACCAATGTTTAGTAGAACTAATTAAACGTACCCTGATTCTTTCCAAGCAGCAAGATCTCCACAGTCACAGCATCCACCAGATGCACTATGATACATCACTGGTTTCATCCGAACACCAAACAAGGCTATAATTAGTTCTAGCTCTTCTGGCCGGTGCTGAGGACCGAAATCACTACGTTTTGCCGTGAGCTTGATTAACATCACAGAAAAATCATGACAATCACAAAATTCATTATAAAATTCTAACCCTTGAGAGAACAAAAAATTTATACATGCGCTTCAAACAAGAGTACATTTTTCATCTTCCAAAAGTAACAAATCTGGAAAATATGAACTCAAGAAGAAGCCAACGGATAACAGGCACAGTCCAAAACATGGAAACTTGGATAAAGAAGTGGATTACCATAGTCGTGATCCCAATGGTTGCCATTCTGGAAACATAAATTACAAATTGCACTGCATTCCAACACACCAGACTAGTAAATACAAAGGAATTCAATGAAGCATTACACACTTCAGTTTGAGTATTCAAGGAAAAGCACTTAAAACCGATTCATGCCTTGAGTCTATCAACTTAATGACATTAGATATCTGAGTCTAGAGATTTACACATTAACACAACCATTAGATTATCCAAGAACCACTACAGGCTTACAATCACAGCAGAAGTGGTAGAGCACAAAGGCCCTACAGTTACTTTGAGGGCAGGACAGTATGCACATTTTCAAAACTTACGAGGAGGATAAGTCCCAAATAAAGGGCTCTTGAGGAGGAAAAAGAAACACGAAGATAACACAAAAATCCCCACAGCAATCACGACCTCATAAGTTGGTACTGCAATTATTTGACTTCGCACCAGGTCTAACACCAGTAACCCATCAGATGCTAGTTTTTGCATTTGCGTAAGGATAACAAACTTCCCAATGAAGTGAAGTTTGTGTAGGTGACAAAATTGTGAACCATATGTGTGCACAAATGTTGTCCGCACTTTGTTTTCCTAAAATTGCAACGCACTCGAAGTGTAAGGACCTCAAAGAATGAGGCCCTCGAAGCCTTCGTCATAACAAATTATAAGCATACTATCTTGATTGCCGAATATCATCCTTCAGATGTTCTGATAGTACTATTCTTTTTCGTTTCCCGCACTTCGTTTTTCTACAAGTGCGAGTGTTAATCACATACCGTTTGTTCTTCCACAGTGGTCAACCTTGAGGGTCGCATTTAAAACATCCACGGCTCGTGATTTAGCGTGACTGATAACAACCAAATTCAATCCAACCATTTTCCCCACCCAGACAAATTGCACTTCAAGATAATTAAGGAAATTTTACCGGAAGGCAACCTGAAACAAGGGCACTAGGATTTAAAGAGATCAAGTTAAACATCTGAATGCAAAAGCATTGTGAATTTTAAACGTTCAGTATCAGAGCATCAGACACGTTGCAACTGGCCATGAGACCAGCCAGCGAGGTAGCAGTTTTGAAAAGGGTTTCCTCAGAGCTTTCGTGGTAATAGCCCTTATTCTGTGAATCTGACGCTTAAAGAATAAGCCGGCTGACGTCTCAAACCAGCACGGCATCATAGTTCGAAATTCAAAGCAGTCATTACACATTGAGGTGTGCCCTGTTACTAGACTCAGCAAGGATTCCGCAGGCATATCCACTCAGTAAACTGAATCAGAACCACAATTGAGAGAAGTTCAAAAGACAACATACCTAGAATCGTTCATTTGACAAGTACGGCAGCGATAAGCAACCACGTCCTTGGTCCATACATATGTGCATTGCAACTGCCCTAGAGCCCGGAAATCATCCAGGTACGAATCTAGAGGTTCTCCTCCGCTCATCCACAAACTACGTTCGTGCAGGAGAGCTTTCGCTTCTTCCACGCCACGTCGAGACGGTCGAGGTTCAGACATTTCGGAGAGAGCTCTGTTCCACGCGGGCTAACCGCATTACGCAAGTGAACACCGGAGCTATGAAATTCAAGATAGACGGAATGAGGAGTAGGATATTCAACACAAGCCAACAATGCTCTGTCGTCGCATTCCCAGTGGCAATTTATGCGTGTTGTCGATTTCGCACCATCGATGCCTATTTCCGTCCACTTTCACTGAAGCCTACAACCCTTTCTCCCCTGCGCCATCGACTTCCAAAACCTTCTCAAGCTCTCCCCTGTGCTCTAACCCCGTGATCACAATTACACCTCTTATAATTCTAACGCAAAAATCTCCATCGCCACAAACTACCGGCGCAAGACTCACTCCTTCTGTCTCTTCCCCCAAGCCAAACACCACCACCTGCTATAAATTAACTAACAACGACGCCTCCCAGCGCTTAATCCAAGTTCCAGCCCCTGAACTAACCACGCCAGTGTACTTGACAACGCATGGCCGATGTTCGCGAAAACACGTCAAATTCTTGGATACCAGCCCCTCTCAGCCACCACTAACCCGCGCCCGAGGCCAGCGATGAAACCTCCTCCTAGTCCTACTCCTCCTCCAACTCCACCTCGAAGAACACCACCAGGCTCTACGGAACAGCACCTAGTGCTGCAATGTTTCTTCTTCGTCTTCTTCGTCTTCTTCGTCGTCCAGTGTGTTGTCCTGTGTGCCATCATCGCCTTCTTTCTTTCTCTCTCTCTCTCTCTCTCTCTCTCCCTGTGACTCGCCTTCTGGCTGGCCTGGGACACGCTCGGACAGTGCGATGCTGCTTCTCTATGCCGACAATTTTGACCACTGGATTGCTGGCCTCGTGTTGCAAGAGGAAGACGACGAGGAGGAGGCCAACGCAGCCTCAACACTAGGAAATTGCTTTCCCCCTCCCCTCGTTGCTGTTGTCCCTCAGTCAAAGTCCACTTTTCAAAATCTGCGTTCCAAGTGTTCCATCTAAAAAAGCCTTATTATGTTGTAATGTCCGAATGATAAGGACTTCAATATCCTTGTCATATCATAGTCGTATCTTACGCAATTATTGATTTCATTCGTTTGTCTCTGTTCTTGTTGCTGAAATTGAACCCGTTTGTTGGCTTCCCTATTCCTCAATTGTGACTTTTCACTACACTGTTCATTGCTTGGTTACTTCACGAGAGGGGATATCGAAATCCCGCAAAAACTAGTTTTCATATTTTTCTCTGCATGTTTGCTTCACATGTGCAACACGCTTTGTGATATTCCATAATTAGGGTTTTGAAAACAAATCACCGAATAAGGCTTTGAAACCATGCTGATAGCAATAACATTATGGAATTCAACCATGTGATATACACATTCTAATTTTTGATTAATTTTTAATTTTGTTGACATCAACAAGGTGTAAATAAAATCACACGTTAAACTTTCACTTCTGCCTGTGTGTGTGAGTATGTATGTGTGTTATTGTATGTTGATGACACTTCAGTTAGTGAAATTAAGAAACCATCTGGTGATGTTGTATTTAGTTTCATGTGCTAAGAAAGCGGATTGGTATGTAATGATTTATTTATGAACCAAAATAAACTGAAAGTTAGGATAAGAGTGTACAAGTCTAAAATACTAGCTGCATAATTAATGATAAGTATAAACAACAGAAGCATATTGTTTTCCACAAGATATCTTAATACTAAAAAAACATCATAATCTAATATACTTTATTTTACACAAGCATAACCTAATGTATTAATTACTAATGTTGTGATTTGATACTAATATATATATATATATATAAACTTTGTAAATATACAAATATAAAACAATGAATTATTGTATTAAATTTTAAAAAATTTACGGATTACTAACTCATTAAAAATTAATCACATTTTTTCTAAACTACTATTTTTTTATGGAGATAACAGAGATTTAATGTTCATACTGTATGTTTCAAAAACTATGTTGATTTGTTACTAAATTTTATCATTTTGTGTTTTATTAATGTAATTAAACTTATTTATTTTTTATTTTTCGAAGAAATCATTTTGAAAAAAACAATTGGCATCAGAAATGTAATTTATAATACAAAGTTTACATGAACACTCAATTGTTTTGGGATACAAAACTTAGTAAATACGACCAAAAAAATATTTTACTACTTTTAAAAATCATTTATAATAATGAAATCAAATTAATTTTAAGACGTAATATTCATGACAATGATATAAGTACAAGAAATAGAGACACACTAATGTTCCATTGAATAAAACTAAAACATTTATGCATAGAAACACTATCAAGTGAGAAAAAAAATCAATTTATTAACAATAACACAATTGCTCATGTATATGTGTGTGTGTGTGTGTGTATATATATATATATATATATATATAGTTACTCCTTTTGTTTTTTTATTCATACCATATAATTCATTCACCTTATTAATAACTATTACAGCTTTAATATAAAAATTATTATACTAAAAGTATTTTATGAATTTATTTTTTAAAAAAATATATATATACATAAAACTTAAAAGAGACATGTCATTTTTAAATATTACATTAAAAAAGGTTTATATGTAAAAAATTACACAAAAAATAAAAAGAAGCATTGATTGGCAAGTATTGTTGAATTATGTAATTATTTATGCAATTATTTTTTATAATTATTATTATTAATTTTTTACAAGAAGAAATTAAAAAATTAAGAAAATAAGAAAATACAATAGCAAAAAATATTACCCTTCTTTACCTTCATTATTGGTATGTTCATACGTTGTTCTTCTCTTAGATTTTAGAATATAATATTATATATATATATATATATATATATATATTTAAGATCAAGAATTACTATATATATATATATATATATATAGACACACACATACATATACATGAGCTAATTGAGAATACAACACCTATTAATTTATCCTATGATTATATAATTTTAAAATAAAATAATGTTGTTAGCATGTATTATGTGGAATTTTTGTCACTTCATGACAAACTAGTTTTTAATAAAAAACCAATCTCAACTTAATTGATGTTGATTAGTATTTTTTGAACTCATACTTACTTGAAAATTTTAAATCTCTAATATTTTTATTTTTTATCTTATATAATAGATGCAAAAGATACTGATATGTTGGTATGAACAATCAATATCTTTTATCAGCATCATGAAAATAAAAATGACATGATTTATTCAAAAAATAATAATAATAAATATATCTATTATTGTAATTTCTTATACATATATAATAGATACAAAGATTCTTGAAGTAAATAAGAGTTAGTAGAAGTAGGTAGAAATATTTTAAATAAATAACATATGTTTTTCTAACTTTAAAAAAATCTTAAATTAGATTGTTATGTTCATTTTGATATATTAGGTAGCTATTAATACTTATCAAGTAAGATTTGTGGTTTTAAAATATTTTATTAAGGCAATTCACAATTTAAAAATTAAAAATTTAAAATTTAATACTTTTTAGAATATCTTTGATGCTTTGGTTATAAGCATTGTTGTGCTTAGGAGGCTTACATAAGACCTTGGTAGCTAGTACATATAAAGGCATAAGTGAGTCCATCATAAGTCATATAAAATAAAAACTTATATTCTAATCTTAGTTCAAGATTCTCTAATATCTTTGAATATAGAAACAATCATTATAATTAAGTTGCAATTTAAATTTCTTTTTTCTTTGCTTACTCTTTCTTTTTAAGATGATAAATAAATGTACTATTTATTCAAATTTTTGTTGAGAGTTTTGACCTTGAAAACATGTGTTCAAAACTAACTTTTTAATTTTCTTTTATATACACAAATATTATGAATATTGACAAAAATGTAGTTATTTACAAAAAAAAATACTTTAAACACTAAAATATGTAAACAAGAATATAGCCAAAATTATATGTTTACATATTTTTATAAAAATCTAACTTAAAAAATTAAATAAAGAATAAAATGAATAATTAACAATAACATTTTATACAATAAATTATTACCATCTACACTCAAGCTTTAAAACAAATATTAGTATTAAATGTAAGGCAAAAATATTTCATAATAAGTTAACGAGGTTTGAAAGTAGAAATAAGAAATGACAAGTAAAATTTTAGAAATGTGCAATAGTTAAAATCTAAAATTACTTGCCAAAAATAAAATTTCATCAAGTCATTATTATAACATCTAAGGACTGAGGTATACACAATTACGCAACTATATTCATTTATGCAACATAAAATTTATTTTTAAAAACTACAAACTAAATTCTAGTATGTAAATTTTGAATATTTCTTAAGATAAATAATAAATGGTAAGTTTAGATATGAAACAAGCAATAGAATCTAATAATAAAAATATTTTATCTAAATCATTAATTTAATAATATTATATTATATCTATTCAAAAAAATAATAAGCTTAAAATTTTAATGAATAGTTATCTAATTTGTTGTTTCTTTGCAATTATACACTATTACTTAACTAATGTACAAAATCTAGATTAAAAATACAATAGAATAAGAATACAATGGTTGTAACATTTGAACCGAAATTCTAAATACTACAAATATTAAGCAAAAAAAATATATAAAAAAAAATCATGTGTAGATATTTATTAATTTGAAATCAAATGCATATTTCTATCTTTTACAAGCTATGCAATCAACTACTGCCAACAATCTCTTTTAGAAATGCTGGAAAATTCTATTGTCAAATTAATAACTTTTCTACAGATAAAAATATATATATATATATATATATATATATATATATTGATGCTTTAAAATTCTAGATCCAAACCAAAGCATGTTTGTATTTTTACTAATATTTAAATAATAAAGTAAACAATAAAACTATAAGTTTTTTTGTACATTATATTGAAATTTTTAATAAATGTATTTTTGAAAATTGATTATATTAAAATAAAATAATTTCGAAACAGATTTAATTTGTACATTTATAGCGATGAATCTTTGAAAATGTCTGTCCCTTAAGAAGAACAATAGTAAAAAAATATATACGCACTAGTTTCATCACTACACTGTGTTGAACTTGAATAGATGGTCCAATTTTAATTGTAAAGTAATAAACACAGATATGTGTTAATAGTAACCATTTATTTATTTTATATTTTATTTGAGGGTATTGTAAATATCCATTATTTAATGCAGGATTGAAATAAGTACAGGGGGTATTTAGAATTAAGTTGAAGTTCTTTCTTCTTTTTTAGTTTTGAGGATGACACCAGATTTTGTGTTAGAAAAATTTGGCATTAAATAATGCCTGTTGTAATGTGTAGATGATATACAAAATGTTTTTGTTTATCTTTAGCTGGGGTATTGGAGACAGTTATCAAACAATGATGATTTATGAGGCAAGAAAAAATTGGAGTTCAAATCATCATTGTTTGAAAACTACACACAAGTCTAGTAACATATTATAATAATAAAAAAGCAGAAAGAAAGAAAGGAAGAAAGAAAGGAAGAAAGACAGCAGTGTCACATGAGAGATAAACCACAAAGAAGGAAAAAAATGTTAAAAAACATATATATACATATAATATAAACCCCACATAAATTGTACTATTTTGCATGCTGGGAGTGGCACAAGTTTCCACTCCTTTAAAGGCATCGAGGAAAACAAATAAATAAACATGAATGGAGAT